CATTGAGGAAATCAAGAGGGCAGCAACAGTGCGCGTCGCGTTAAGTGTTTGGTGTTATTTTTTGATTTGCAAATTTGTTGAAGTACTTGAAATTTCATTGAATTAAATAATTTGCAATTCAACGAATTAGATTGCATACAAGGTTTAAATGGATTTTTCGATGTTGTGTGCCGGATTGAAGAAAATAGACAGCTGAATAAGGTGGATATTTTGGAGAATACAAACGCAGAAAAATTAAGAATCATTATAGTACACATACATATGTATGCACATAAAATGCCATTATAAGATTTTAAATAAAAAAATACGTACTGCTATTAACTGGAATAAATAAATTTACCTTATGTATGTCAGGAAAATTTATGATTGTAATAAAGTATTTTCAACGTGAATTTTAATGATTTATATAAAAACTTTTAAGAAATAAAAAAAACAGTTTCTCTCATTTAATTGTAAAAAGTGTGATGTGATCATACAAATGTGCAGAAAAAACTTCTTAAATGTACCAAGTAAATTTTAATTTTTGCCGAACCAAAGTTCAAAGCCTTTCGTTTCAAATTTGTTAATTTTACCTGCTAACAACGCACCGGTTAGTGTGTTTTTGTGAAATTGTGTTATTTTTCTGGAGAAAAAATAATTAAATTTTGCTTTGGCTGCCTGCAATGCACCAATAAAAAAGGTGAAAAGCAATCACACATCTATAAATCAATAATAAATAATTGCTCATGATTCAATTATTAAAGGTTTTGTAAGTAGCTATTTTCTAAAATTTTACACTCCCACCCACAGGGATGGTTTTTGGAAGCAGGAGAAAAAGGGGAAGAATTCAATCACACTTCCTAAATCGTAGCGAAATTCTACAAAAAAGCGTGGATAATGGTGCATCGTGGTGTTTTAATACAAAAACGAATTTGATTTAATTAATTAATTTAAACCAGCTTATTTACATCAAATACAACCCCTGATTATTATTAAAAATAAATTTTGCTATGAATATACCAAAGTTGCGTACGTCAGACGGCGCATAACTCAAGAATGGATGGTCCCCTCAGAGCTATTTTTTTTTATTGTTTGTCTGCCTTGTAAATTCTTTGCGGTACCATTTACATTAGATAGATATGAAGAAGCTATTTTTTTGTGGAAAAATTATGGAGTTTTGTCTAAAAAACGCCAAATAAAAACATTTGGAGCTTACGATTCTTTCGCGATTATGGCTCGATTGCTTCGAATATGCTAACTCGAGTTCTTTGATATTGCACTTTTAGTGTTCTGGGGAGATTATGCCGCTGTCAGAATATTAAACATTGGCTTATACAGTCGCGATTGGCGCTTCGTGCCGGACGACAGGAAGAATAAAAAGGACACGCAGCTACTGAACGACTGAGACAGGAAACGTGATCTCCATCGTCAAATGAGAAGTGCCGTAAGTGTGCAATTATATCGCGCCATTGACTAAACCGAGCTGTCGGGTTTTACGATTGGCCCCATGGACGCGGTTTGCTAATATTATATTGCGTCAAAGTCTCATTCGGAGATACTAGCAGCCGGATTCCAGCATTCACTATCGCTAATTTTGATCGCTAAAGGTCTCCAAAAGAATAGCAGGCGCGCTTAACAACATGCAACGTTTAGTTACATGCCCCTCATACTGCCAGATTTGCCTGATTACACTTTGCTTCTGTTACTTTTCCAAATTGCGCACTTTTAGGCCCCGCGGCTGTTAATTTAGAGAATTTTAGCGATGGAAATTTAGCATAGCGATTGTTAGAATTCCAATGCAGGATTGTGTTGCGTAGGTCAATACCTAAATATCTTCGTTGGCTCATTTACCAGAACCATTGCGCGCTTTACTTTACAGCGCCTTGGCAGAATCAATAGGTCTCCACGAATATCGACAAAGACATTTCGGCATTTAAGGGAATTTCGTCTCTTTAGCCTGCATTGAATTTCTGTAATCCACCCATTTCGTCTTGTTGTCGCCAGCGAATGAAGAACAAACATTTCTTCAAATTTAAAAAGTAAAAGTTTCACTACTAAAAATTTTAAAATGTTCTTAAAACCTGCAAAGAAATATCACTGTTTTTGTTTTTGGGAGTAGGGTGGGAGTGTCATTGATAAAATTAGAGCGAGAGAAAGTTTTTCTTACAAAACCTTTCATTATTGAATCATGATAATTGCTAACATCAATTTTTGAAATTTAAACCGGCTCCGATTTCGAGTGGGATGATTTAGACTTTTTTTTTTGTTTTTGAAACAAAGTGAAACAGGAATACTGAATGAAGCTTGCAGTAAGTACACAAAAAAAAGGAATTTAAATTCAATGGCATAAAAATACAAGTAGTAAGCGCATATCGTCGTTTAAAATGCAAAACCGCGTATGTGAGGTTGCATAAATTATTTTCTAGAACGTAAAAACACTCATATTTCAAAACGGTTCTCTTTTTTTTATAAAGCAATCGCATTTCTGGCTATTATATTTCAGGACGAATGGATAAGGATTGAGCCAAGAGCTTATGTGAGCAATTCCAATTGTTGGCAGCAAATGTCAGTTTGCAGATTGATGATGCGCGGCTTTGTACTTTAAATGACGATATATACTTACATTCAAAAAATTCAAAGCTTTTTAATTAGAGGTCTTAGACAGATTCTGCTTTTACAGTTTGTATCCCATGTAATTTTAGTTAAATAAAGTATATGATAAAAGTAAGACTAACCGTTGATTTTCGGCAATTTCTATTGCGACGCGAATGAAGTTCGACGAAAAAAGCCAAAAACCAATGGAATACAAAACTGCATATATACTCATACTCTCTAATAAATTGAATTAAAAGTTTGAAATCTTTACGAAAGTTTATTGGCCTTTTTTAATTATTGCAAAACGTTAATTTTGTTAAAAGATAAACTTTATTTCTGTTACAATTTTAAATAAAATTAAATAAAAAAATGGATAAAACTTGTCAATATGTGGTGCGTCTATAATTTTGAGACGGCGTATATGTAATAATAATAATAATAATAATACTATTTTGGCGCTTACTCTTTTTCTAAGTGGTGGTCATTTGGTGTTTATTAGAAGATTTTTCAGAGACTATCCATTAATTTCAAATTTAGGTTTCCGGATTCCGCAGTGTTTTCCAGCTAGTAAATCTAGTCGATAGGCTGCTCAACTGCGCGGTCTTGAGCTCGCTCACGGTGCTCGAAAAGCAAGTTGAAGAAGGTCTGATTTTTCTATAGAGAAAAATAGAGTGCGAATACCTTTGACAACACGTGGACCACTTTCGGGAAGATGGATCTTATGTAAGCACTTCAATGTCTTTCCGGTGGGTGTTTCACAGGTAAAATATCTTACCCACACTCACTGTCGCTGCAGGTAGATGACATGGAGTCACCTCAAAATTTTCGTTAAGCTATCTAGGAGGTTTCTTTCTTTTCCTGGGAAGCTTTTCCCATATTGACATCTGCTGCCTGTGAAACTTCTATCCTGATTTTTGCTATAGCTTAGCAGCTACTCGTAGTGGCGTCACAAAATATTGACGTCTATAATCCAATTTTGTGTGACAACATCAAGGCGTACGCCACAAATCGGAGGAGAAGCTCGGCCAAACACTAACATATGTATGTGTAAGCGCCAATCTATTATTATAATGAAACATGAAATCTTCCAACCTTTCGAACACCTTCTGTCAATTTCTTTTCGAACAAAATGGTTTTTCTATTTAAAAAAAAAACATACTCAATTAGCCTTTTAATGAGCTTTAATCTCTGCAGTGCGGTTCATACACTGAGAAAAGAGTTTAGTTACGTCAACTAAATATGTTTTTCTCAACACATGATTTAGTTATAGTCACATTATTTGGTTATAGTTACCAAATCATGTGTTGGTAGAAATATATTTGGCTGACTTTTTTCTGAGTGTAATTTAACGAAAAATAAATAAAAATTTCCAACAACTTAGCACTTTTTCCTGAACAACTGTACTCTTTTTAAAACCAGTAGTTTAAAGCGCGATTGATGAATCAGGCATCAGTAGTTTTGCGAATAACGTAGTTTTAACATTCACGCGTTAATTTCCGTGTCTCACGATTCGCAAATGCTAAAATTCGCACCACCCGTATGTATTGTATGTAGAAGGTTTTTTTTTTTTTTAATTCACACAGTACAGTTGCGTATTTGCATGCTTGACGGTTAATAGTATCGATTAAATTGCCTTTAATTGTGGGTGCCGTAATAACTGTTAATTAGTTTTAACTTCTTTATAGAGATGCAAACGACAATGTTAGATATTTAAGCGATGCGATTAATGACTAATAATAAACAGATAAGTGGTAGTTATTTTTGGATTCGTAAACTTTTATTTCACTTAATTGTGCAAGGGTTAGAATTACGCCAAATACTTTGAGAGGCTCAATTTCCTAAATAGCAATTTTAACGATCTAAAGCTATACTTACTTGATAGTTTATACATATGTACATATGTATGTATAATATTTGAGCAAGAAAAATCATCAAATACAACTTGCAAATAGCTAATAAAAATAATTATATATGGTAATAACAAATAATAAATTACTTTCATTTATGAATATGTTTCATACCAAAATATTCCGCTCTCATTAATTACTTTACTTATTCATATACAGTAGAATCGCGGAAAAGTTAACTAGCGCAAAAGATAAACGCTCGGCTAAGTTAACCGAATTTCAGCGTTTACCTACCGCTCTAAAAAGTTGACTTTTGTTTTAACTTTTCTGAGCTTATAAATTTTTCAAAACAACCCCGATCTTAATTAATTTACGGGTATTACCCGAATTTCTTTTTGTCGTGAGCGTTTGAATTTGTAAGTTGTGTATTGTTTGTGTGTTTAAAAAACATCAATCACCCCGTATACATATTACTATAAAAAGAAAATATCCATTGGGATGCGAGGGTCGCCTTTTCTTTTATCTTTATTTTCTCATTTTCAAACGTTTGACATTTGAGAAAG